TGATAAATATTTTTATATTGTCCATCCCTACTTGTAAAAATGTTGCATCCACTTAAGATCTTCTAAGACTCCATTCTATGGCTGATGTGCAAGGCCAACACCAAGGGTCAGAATTCAGAGTGGATGAAAACAAAAGTGCAAACAAGAACAATGTAGTTTCCAAAACTCAGACGAACGTTAATCAGATGCTGCAAAGCAAATGACTAATTTCCTGTTTCTTTCCATGAAAATTACGTGCAAGATGACACAGAGTGGTGTGATTGGCTTTCTTATCTGTAATTGGCTGGCTAGTTGGGTGGCTGATGGGGTGATTAGATGAAGTGAGGATAGCATAATGCCATACAGTAACATAGCTGGAGAAATGTGTGTGCTAGTATTTGCCTGCTGTACAAAGACATCTCAATTCATAACAATACTATTAATGTTAAGGGGATTCCTCCCTGGGGGCATGTATATTAGTGACAGTGTGTGTGTGTGTGTGTGTGTGTGTGAGAGAGAGAGAGAGACCGAGAGAGAGAGAGAGCTCATTATTGTGATACTCTGCCACTGTATTGATTTAATTACTTTCCCATCAGTCACTCTGCAGACTGTTAGGAGTTAGTAGGCCTGGCCCAACACGCTCAAAACCACTCATAGCCGTCATTCAAAATCCAGTTTGAAGTTCAAAATATATCCTGCACTTTGGCACTCAAACGGAAATTCCACTGGTTTTTTTTTCTTATTTTTTCTTATTTGTTTTTATTTCTCAATCCTTTTTTTATTTCTCATTCTCTCGTTTTTATTCCTCGTTTCCAAAACAGGCATTCAGAGCAGTTTGATTTGAAGTGGTTAATTGCAGAGAAACTTACTGACTTACTGACTTAGCATCCAAACTAGTGACCCTACACGTCTTTTTAATTTCTATATGTCATGTTGATGATGGTAAATTGTGCTAAATCTGGAAAAGTGATCTGACCACACCTTGTATGTACCTCACCACCATGAGTGTGTGTTAAAAATATGTTTTAGGCCACAATTACCATAAAACAATGATATCATCTGAGACTTGCTTATCAGACAGATGTTTATATGTTGGCAAGCAGTTTATGTGTCAGTGTTTAGGTGACGCTGGGTTACTACACTTATGTAAAATATGAAATATCTGCATTTTATTAATTTGACTGCCCAAACTGACATTTGTAGCCCTGAAGAAAGAAATATTACATTTCTCTTTAATAAAAAGTCACTCTAGGCCTTTTGGAAGTTCTAGATAACTGTGTATATGAGGCATAGTCAGTTAGTTGTTAGGACTGTAAAACAGGCTGTTGAATCTGTTCTTAAATACTTGAGAGTATTTAACTGAGAGGCTTGTATTAAATGATACAGTACAATAGATTACGTTGCTACACTCTTGGCATCAGTATCAGATATGTACATGAAAAATATCAAGTATTGGCATATCAGTGCATCTACAAATCAGTGCATCCCTATCTTAAACATTTCAGGCATCATTAATGCCCCATTTACCTCACTGTAATCACTGTAGAGCTGTAGAAATGCTGCTGGTGTGGATCTGCTGCTCGTTTTACCTGTTATCAGGTAGCACTCACCCCTGAACAGAAGGAACTGTTCTCTTTTCATTGTCGAAGGACTGTATAGGCACCAGAGGGTCACAGGTCAATTTGATTAATGACTAAGGACACTTTTCGTTATGGCCATGATTGACTCCATCTAGGGCTGGGCGATAAAATGATAACGATAATTATCGCGATATAACTTTTCCTCGATAGAGCGATACGACATGTTCGATAAATGCTCGATATAATACACCATTCACACACTTCCACGTTCTAGCGAAAGCCTTGGTGGCGTTTTCTGCTGCAAAGAAAGCGACACTACTCTGCTGTCGCCAGGAGAGGGCGCACTTCCGAGTTTTTCTACATGATTAGAGAGGGAGGGAGCCACGAGTAAGATGAGTCTTTAGCAACGGCTGAAACGCGGAGTTATACATTCCCTGTTTGAGTGGAGCGACCGGCGATCTGTTCTCCTGTGACCGAGTGTGAGTGACGAGGTCAGTGGTGTAACTGTACTGTCCTACAGTGAACTCATCTCTTTCCTAACATCCTAACCAGCTTTAGCAGCGTTAAATCACAATCCTCACAACTACAGCGCTGTTACAGCGCTCAGTCATATTTAAGTATGAGTGCATTCCCAAGCAACGAAAGTGAAAGAAAGAAGTGGGTTCATGTAAATTACAGCCCTGACTTAAACGAAAGTAAACTGAGGAAGCTGTGAGGCATTGGAGAGCGCTAGCTTTCCAGGCTAGCTGTTTTTTAGCAGCTGGCTAACTTGAAGCAGCGCTCAAAAGGATAGTTTAAAACAGCAATTAGCCACCCAGGATTTTTATCGATATCGAACGATATGAATTTTGTTTATCGTGATAACATTTTTGGCCATATCGCCCAGCTCTAACTCCATCCATGCCAAACTGTATCAGTTAGTCCTCCTGTGCTGGTGTGTAATGTGCAGATTTAAAGCTTTGTTGTATATCAGCAGTTCTGATCAGGTCATCTGAGGGAGTGAGCTTCAATCAGGCCCAGCGTCAGGTGGTCATTTAGTGAGGCAACGCTGCACACCCACGCATTTGTCCCCCGGCTGCACCTCTGTGGTTTTCAGATGCCTCAGGCATGATTTGTTTCCAGGGCCACGCCTGGCTGCAATTAGGCCAACTATCTACTGGGGAGTTCCAGCAGCCTGGGGTGAGGGTGAACTCATACGAGAAAGAGAGAAAAGGAGAGGAAGAGAGAAGGCCGGAGAGAGAGAGAGAGAAAAAAGGGTAGAGTGGGCTAAATGGAATTGCGTATAAAGTAGGCCTCTTTCCTCACCAGGATACTTTAGTGTCATTCAAATTCTCATAATTTTGGTATATTCAGGAAAGATATCAACAAATCCGTCAGAATTGAACTGAAATACAGATTAAACGTTTTAGGACACCAGCTGGAGTGATTATAAATGCAAATAAGTCAATTCGTCTTAAAATTGTCGATGGTAGTCTTAAATCTTTCTCTTTGCCGTTTCATTAGCAACTAGCCAGATGAGACAAGCTATTGTGACCAGCAGTCTGCGCGCTAATCTTCAAGGTTAAATGATGAATTAGCAGTTCTGCATTAACTCCAGCATTTACGACCATTTATTGTTTAAACTGTGTTGAACGATCGGCAGAGCTTTGTCTTACTGCAAAGGAGGATTATGTTATTATTACCTACAAATCTAGTTCTGCTGTGGAGATGCAACAGGGCAGTAAAAGAGATGCGTTTGGACCCGGAGCCCTGGGTGAGGGACTCAAATTTTCAACAGATGACCCTTTCAAAAAGTTGTAGGGACATGTCCCCACCTTCATGTGAAACCATGCCAGTTAGTCCTCTTGTAGTCTAATGTATAACATAACATAAAATAAAGCTTCTATAAAGCTGGGGAATTCCAGCCGGTGTACGTGTCTGAGCTGCATGCGCAGAGAGAGAGAGAGAGAGAGAGAGAGAGAGAGAGAGAGAGAGAGAGAGAGAGAGAGAGAGAGAGAGAGAGAGAGAGAGAGAGAGAGAGAGAGAGAGAGAGAGAGAGAGAGAGAGAGAGAGAGAGAGAGGGGATGGGGAGGGTAAGAGGCAGAGAGAGGGAGAAAGAGCAGCGGACAGAGAAAGGAAAAGTGTGTGGGAGGCAGAGAGAGAGAAGGAGAGGGAAAGGGGCGAGTTAGGGGAACAGAGAGAGAAGGAGAGGGAACGTGACGGAGAAAAAAAGAGATGGTCATCAAAGTACTCCATGACTATGGCCTTGAGTAAGTATTACTGTGCAGAAACCATATATAACGACTTATAACTGCACATTTCGTTTGGTTCCCCGCAGCATATTTGCGGTGCTTGCAGTTCCACATTGTTGTAATGCTATGTTTAGAGTAATACACTTTCTATTACCACTGCTAGGAATGCAAATCCTCCTTCTTCCCTCAAGTGTAAATGCAGGGCATGAAAATGACTGTTGTGGTAAACCAATATAAAGCTGGCTCGTGTGTCGGCGATGATCGGAAGTACTTGAGGGATTTGTTTATGTGTTGAGTGATGAGCTCTGAAGACTTTCCACATAGCAGACGTCATCCTAGCAGGGAAAAGGGTGAGTTTTTGAATGAGAATGTAGGGCACATGTGTCAGGCTCCAGTCCTCGCAGGCCAAAACACTGCAGACTTCAACACACTGCCTCATTAAACACACCTGGTGCAGCTTGTCAGCTAATTAGTGAGGCCTAAATGGCCTGAATTCAGTGTGTTGGATGAGGGTAGGCGTTAATCTCCAACGGACTTTTGTCTGGAAGGTCCTCAGTTTGACATGCCTGATGTAGAGCAGCTTAGATTCATTAAGCTATTTATGAATTTTGTCCTCCAAAGACATTTTTTGTTTGATGAAGCAGTTTTCCTTTTCGGAGAGCAGAAAGCTTGACAAGGGCTACAAGCTTTTCTCTGAGAATTACACGTTCTCTGAGGATAGACTGTCTTTTTGTGCCCAGACTGCTGACGAAATAACACAGAATTGAAGCACTTCAGTAAAGATGAACATTTAAAAATAGGCCATCATGCTGGAACTACTAAAACCCTCTACTGACCTCAAAAATACACAGCTAACAACACCACATCACAGTGTGAGTGAGAGCTATTTCAGGACAGATTTGTTACAGATTCTTTGATTTCTCTTTGGTATCTGATGTAGCAGTTTCTGCTGGATTAGTGCCGAGTGTTTATCACATAATCATGGAGATTATGTCATAGCTGAATTGTAATATCTTATACATAATCTAGCTAAAGAAAGGAAGAAAAATGGCCTTACATGACCTTTTGAGAAGAGAGAGATTAAAATTCAAGAGGAATCTTTTTCACGTCATACATTCTTCAATTTTTCCATGCTTTGCTTTGTGTCATCGTGGGACTTTTATTTGTGTTACAGAGTCGTTGCATTTAGTGTTCTTTGCAGCAGATTTCTCCCAAAGTTACTTAAGCTTTAGTTAAGATTACAGTTTTATAGTGTGCTGTTTTAATGATTACGTTTTTGATTAGGCAGCATCAGTAAATCAGTCTATTCATTCTTACTTGTGCCCATAAATTCTGTGATAGTCGTTGTGGTTTTGAATTAAAGGAGGAAATTTAGAGCTTATCTTCAGATGGTGTAAAAACAATACGCCAATTTTAGAACCAATAACTATCTAAAAGATTGCTACCGATTACATTTAGAGTCAGTGTACCACACCGTTGGTGCCTAGTCATCTTGTGGTTTAGAGGAGCGTCGCTGTGTGTGAGATCTGCCTCAAAATGGAGGAACACAAAATGGCTCATTACTGCTTTATTGTTGATTCAAGTGACAGAACACATTTACATGTATTTTTGTTTCCTTTGTTTAAAACTAGAGGTGGCTGTACTCAAGTAAAAGGCAGGGCATGAAAATGACTGTTGTGGTAAACCAATATAAAGCTGGCTCGTGTGTCGGCGATGACGGGAAGTACTTTAGGGATTTGGTTATGTGTTGAGTGGTGAGCTCTGAAGACCTTCCACATGCCAGACGTCATCCTAGCAGGGAAAACATTACAATGGGTGAGTTTTTGAATGAGAATGTAGAGCACATGTGTCAGGCTCCAGTCCTCGCAGGCCAAAACACTGCAGACTTCAACACACTGCCTCATTAAACACACCTGGTGCAGCTTGTCAGCTAACTAGTGAGGCCTAAATGGCCTGAATTCAGAGTGTTGGATGAGGGTAGGCGTTAACTTTTGTCTGGAAGGTCCTCAGTTTGACATGCCTGATGTAGAGCAGCTTAGATTCATTAAGGTATTTATGAATTTTGTCCTCCAAAGACATTTTTTGTTTGATGAAGCAGTTTTCCTTTTCGGAGAGCAGCAAGCTTGACAAGGGCTACAAGCTTTTCTCTGAGAATTACACGTTCTCTGAGGATAGACTGTCTTTTTGTGCCCAGACTGCTGACGAAATAACACAGAATTGAAGCACTTCAGTAAAGATGAACATTTAAAAGTAGGCCATCATGCTGGAACTACTAAAACCCTCTACTGACCTCAAAAATACACAGCTAACAACACCACATCACAGTGTGAGTGAGAGCTATTTCAGGACTGATTTGTTACAGATTCTTTGATTTCTCTTTGGTATCTGATGTAGCAGTTTCTGCTGGATTAGTGCCGAGTGTTTATCACATAATCATGGAGATTATGTCATAGCAGAATTGTAATAGCTTATACATAATCTAGCTAAAGAAAGGAAGAAAAATGGCCTTACATGACCTTTTGAGAAGAGAGAGATTAAAATTCAAGAGGAATCTTTTTCACGTCATACATTCTTCAATTTTTCCATGCTTTGCTTTGTGTCATCGTGGGACTTTTATTTGTGTTACAGAGTCGTTGCATTTAGTGTTCTTTGCAGCAGATTTCTCCCAAAGTTACTTAAGCTTTAGTTAAGATTACAGTTTTATAGTGTGCTGTTTTAATGATTACGTTTTTGATTAGGCAGCATCAGTAAATCAGTCTATTCATTCTTACTTGTGCCCATAAAGTGTGTAATAGTTGTTGTGGTTTTGAATTAAAGGAGGAAACTTAGAGCTTATCTTCAGATGGTTTAAAAACAATACGCCAATTTTAGAACCAATAACTATCTAAAAGATTGCTACCGATTACATTTAGAGTCAGTGTACCACACCGTTGGTGCCTAGTCATCTTGTGGTTTAGAGGAGCGTCGCTGTGTGTGAGATCTGCCTCAAAATGGAGGAACACAAAATGGCTCATTACTGCTTTATTGTTGATTCAAGTGACAGAACACATTTACATGTATTTTTGTTTCCTTTGTTTAAAACTAGAGGTGGCTGTACTCAAGTAAAAGGCAGCGCATGAAAATGACTGTTGTGGTAAACCAATATAAAGCTGGCTCGTGTGTCGGCGATGACGGGAAGTACTTTAGGGATTTGGTTATGTGTTGAGTGGTGAGCTCTGAAGACCTTCCACATGCCAGACGTCATCCTAGCAGGGAAAAGATTACAATGGGTGAGTTTTTGAATGAGAATGTAGAGCACATGTGTCAGGATCCAGTCCTTGCAGCCCAAAACACTGCAGACTTCAACACACTGCCTCATTAAACACACCTGATGCAGCTTGTCAGCTAATTAGCAAGGCCTTCATGAACTGAATTCAGGGCGTTAGATGAGGATAAACGCTAATCTCCGCAGCACTTTGGCCTGGAAGGTTCCCAGTTTGACATGCCTGATGTTAAGCAGCTTAGATTTAATGAGCTATTCATGTGGTTTATAGGTAAAACTGAAGTTATGTCTGTGTAATAATTTCTCAAGTAAAAGGTAAAAGTAAAAGTAGCCTCACAGATAAAAAAAAAAACCTTAAGCAACAAAGTTAGAAACTCCTTAGTATATCCAGCGTCTACGAAAATAGGAAGTGAAGGTTCGTAGGCTCTCTTCTTCTTTTTTTTTTGGGATCAATAAAGTGCTAAAGCTCAAAAATATGAGGTGATCAACAGCACAACAGTTGGAACTGAACGGTTCTGATAAGAATTATTATCTGAATGTAAGTGGCTGAGTAAAGTAAAGTGGCTCGAGCAAAAAAGTATCAGGAACTTCTTAGTACATCCAGCATCTATCAGAATAGAAACTGTTTGTTAGGCCCTTTTCGTCTTTTTTTTATCTTTTGGGCCTAAAATAAAGCACTAGGGCTAATAAGAAAGAGGTGTGAGCAACGTTGCATAACAACACAACTGAACCAACAAAACAATAAAATTAAACCTAAAATAATTATTACTGAAATGTAAATGGATAAGTATAAAGTAGTTTTAAATCATTTGGAGAATATTCAGGAACGTGACCTGCAAGTCCTTCCAAATTATAATTTCATGTAGCTAAAAAGAGTGAACTAGTTACTACCACCTATAAAAAAAACACCAGATAAAAGCATTTATTCCTTTGTTTTCCACAAACCATAACAAGACAGTAGTGTAGTATTGACTTGTGCCAAATAACTGACCTTTAAACCTTTCTTGATTGTCATATTAACATCAAATGTTGCCTAACTAGTGTAGATTATAGCGCTCTAAACATGTTTTTAAATGGTTAAATCATCTTGGGTGTTTTAATTATGATTGTGTAGATTGATATTTGTGTCAATGTGTTTCCATTGAAAGTTCACCGGTGGAATTTCCCTTTTAACCCCTTAACCTTCCAGGCTTGTTACATACTAAGACATATTATTCATTAACCACGGGGACTTCAGTGCAAAGTAATGGAGCTTTTCTTTGGTTCTTAGTCGTTCTATGGAAACGTCCATTTTTGTGTCCCTAGCATTTACAGATATATTACACCTGAAAAACATGTTAGGGTTACAATTTATTTATATTTTAAAATAAAACAATAAGTTATTTTAACAGTTACACCTTCTTGAGCCTCAATTTAGCAATATTAGTTTTTAAATCAATTATATAGAATTCCAAGCACCACAGAAGTGCTAGTCATCACAGTCATGTGTAAAGGCTGAGGCCATATTTTGAGGTAAAAAACATGTTTTTCTGCCATTTTAACTGCAATAATCTACACATGACTATGAAATAAATTAATTTAATGACATAAAGAAAACAAATAGCAAATAAATATTATAATATATATAATGAAAGTTGTTGTCCCCAGGAGTCGTGTCACTGCGTAACAAAAAATCTCTCATTTTGAAATAAAAATCACACTGATGACATCATTTGATTTTCTTTTACCTGTTTTCTGAGGATCTATAAAGAAAAGCACATGGTGAGTCCACTGTGTCTTTCAGTTATCAGAGATTTTCTCATTCAGCTCATGATTTCATATGAAGCTTTTAGCTGAAGTCACTGGTGTGACCGACTTTATTCTGAGGTAATTGTGAAAAAATAGAAAACAAATAGATTAAATTCCATATTTTAGTGGATATTCCATGACTGACAACATGTGCCTTGATGCTCTGCAGCAGCCATTTTGTAAAATGCGTTTTTTCATTAAAATGTCTCTGGTGTTACCTTTCTAATGTGTAACACCAATGACGATCAGTAACACCAGTGACTCCTATGGACGGATAAACAAGTGGACATTTCTGTAGAATGACCCATATACAAGTGTGTAATAAAACCTTGGACCCACCGGCAGGCTTGGTGAGGGGTTAATGTCCACACAGTGGGGTTTAGACTAGAAAAGTTGGAGAAGTGGTGCTTTAAAGTATTCACAGACTCGACTCAGTAAAACCTCCAGAAACAAATGCCATCCTGTATCTGCAGTGCAGCTTCAGGAAGGCTGGGCGCTTAAAGGCCAACTTCCTGTTAGTCATGTGAGTGAGGGAGAGTGAAAAAGACATCCTGTGATATCTCTCTGATCTGTGACTGGCTGCCTGAATCAGGTGATGTGAAATGCAATACTGATATGATGCAATAATGATGCAGTACACTTTTAGCCTGCCAAAAAAACCCACCGTTAGTCAGTTTACCAAGGCTGCTAGTTGCAGAAACAGTGCACAAACTGCTAGCTAGCTGCTTACAGCAACTGTCAGAACATGAAAGTTCAGTGATGAAGAGATAGCAGTGTTAATAAAACAAGTTCTTTCCCAATAAAAATCATCCTACCGGGTGCAATTCTAGCCCAGCTCATAAAACCATTTGAGACATGTGTGATAGGGGTCATTAAGTTATGAAAGCTTCTTCTATTGGTAAATGCCTCCGTCTGTCTGGCCACTGTCTGCTGCCATTGTTAAAGGTAGTCTCTTAATAACATGCCTTTCAGGCACTAGTACTAATTTATGCAAGAGACAAGCTAGCTAGCTCAGACATTAGTAAATCAAATGGAATTTGTATCTTCCATTATCTCCACACGTCCTCTATCAAATGCTTATGTAGAAAACACTGTTTTTTTTTCAGTCTGCATGAAGCAGAAACTACATGTTTAGGCTTGTATGCCAGTTTTGTACATATTGTGCGTCTTATTAGACAGAATTTGTGCCTGGAAGCTGCTGCACGAAGCTCAGTACATCCCAGTGCCTTCACACTAGAGCTGTTTTCACTGGGGGTCAGATGGAGGAGGCCACAGGGTAGCCCACCTATAACAATAGACAAAGAATTGTATACTCCGGTATGACTATAACAGTCTCTACTGCCTTTCCTTTTACGGCCTGAGTGCTGATGGGTACAAATAAAGACATAACAGTGTTTTAATACAGCAATAACATGTTTCGTCCTTAGATCACTGACACTTGATTCCCAGTGGAGACACTTCCCTTTAAATTTAGCCAGCATGAGTGACTCAGTAAGCTATTTATTAAATGGGTTAAGTAAGTGGTTACTGTTACAGGAAACCCATAGCAGGATTCCCTCGTGACACATAACTGACCTTTTTGCCTTTTGGAGGGTTACACTACATTAATATCACTTTTATCTTACTGTAACTGGTGTCTATAATTGTTTTAAGCTAATGATGCACAATGACAACAGCTGATATTTGCTTATCAGACAGATGTTTAGATGTGGGCCGATATTTTAACTGATATTTGTATTTACTGTACTCTGGAAAAGCAGAATGTTTAGGTGATGCTGGGTTACTACGCTTATAATATAAAACATAAAATATCTGCATTTTATTCATTTGACCTATTTGTACCCCTAAATAAATGTTAAATTTCTCTCTGATGCTGATCCAGATTGATCTAGTCACAGTTTCTGCCTTTTATAAAATGATATGTATTGGTTAGGAGTTCAGTGACTCACATAAATCATAATTGGTTTTGAAGTGATACAGTGCTTGAACAGTGGCTAGTTTTCAATACAGCAAAAGAAAGCAGTTTCTTTCTAGAAATGTTAATGTTTGCATTTTCAGGTTTTATTAGAGCATTCGGCATTAAAAAAGTATAACGTTTTACAATATTGCGTTAGCCACAAGCTAATAAGCACTATGTGCATTAATATATGTGCACAACAAGTGCTTTTCTACCGTGCTTTACGTTTTGAGGCAAAGAGGAAGTGATATTTTCAGAGGAGGGAGGGCAGTGAGGAGCCTTCAGGGCCTTCTAGGCCTAATGATTTCTGGGAAATAAAAAAAAGTATTATTTTTAGCATTTTTGTTTAATAGTAATGCTTGTTGCATTTAGTATTGCATTATTTCTCTTTTTTCATCGTTAAGTTTTGGTTTAGAAACAAGGGTTGAAGTCCTGAAACGTGAAATGAAAAATTATCCAATCAGATTTTTCCCCCAATGATGTCTTTGTTAGGACTTCAGGAGCGGACGTGAAGGACTTACGTGGCAGATGAACCACCAGCATAATTAGGAACCGACGGTAGAATGAACCACTGATTTTGTCGGGGGGAAATAAGGTCACTCCATGTCTTCTGGGAGTTCTAGATACATCACTATCAATATGAGCTGATTTCAGTTAGTTGTTAGGGATGGAAAATAGCAGCAGCCCTATGGCAGGGCACTTTAATTAAAGAATCACTGTAAAACGGATATATATACATATATACATATATACATGTGTTAATTGTTGTCAAGAGCTTCAAATAAAACATGGAATGTCTTTCACAAGCTTCAACTTCCAAAAAATGAATGTATATTTCTCTTAGTTTAGCGCTAACATACTACTAGAATCTCATAGAGGTGCTAGCAAAGATTAGCATTATCATACATACATCATCTAAACCGCTTATCCTTCTGGATCACGGTGGGGTGCTGGAACCTATCCCAGCAGTCATTGGGCGGAAGGCAGGATACACCCTGTCCAGTCCATTGCAGGGCAGACAGACAGACACATTCACACCTAGGGGCAATTTAGCACATCCAGTTGGCCTGACTGCATGTTTTTGGACTTTGGGAGAAAACCGGAGTACCCGGAGGAAACCCACGCAGACAGGGGGAGAACATGCAAGCTCCTCACAGAAATGACCCTGGTCGCCCGGCCGGGAATTGAACCCAGGCCATTTTTGCTGTGAGGCGACAGCGCTACCCACTGCGCCACCG